TTGACAAGTCTCTAGGAAGTTCCAAACTTTCCCACACCTTCCTGTCTTCTGAGCTCTCCAAACTGTTCCAACCTCTGCCTGTTACCCAGTTCCAATGTTGCTTCCACATTTTCAAGTATCTTTATAGCAGTGCCCCAAACTCCTGGTACCAATTTATTGTATTAGTCCTTTCTCACACGGCTGTGAAGATACTACCTGAGACTGGGTAATTTATAAAGAAAAGAGGTTTAATTGATTCACAGTTCCACATGGCTGAGGAGGCCTCAGGAAACTTATGATCATGGTGGAAGGTGAAGAGGAAGCAAGGACCTTCTTCAGACGGCGGCAGGAGAGAGAAAAGCAATTAGGGGAAATGCCAGACACTTACAGAACCATCAGATGTCATGAGAACTCACTCACTATCATGAGAACAGCATGGTGGCAATTGCCCCCATGATCCAATCACTTTCCTCCCTCAACACTTGGGGGTCACAATTCAAGATTAGATTTGGGTGGGGACACAGAGCCAAACCATATCAAAGGAAGTCTGCCACATTGATTGACTCTTCCTTTCACAAAATATTCCCTGTAGCATGCCATGCTGTTTGATAACATTTTACCCACAGTAGAACATCTTTCAAAACTACAGTCAATCATCTCAAACCCTGCCCCTGCTTTATCAACTAAGATTTTATAAGATTTAAAATATTATGTTTTCATTTCAACAGTGTTCACAGAGTAGATTCAATCTCAAGAAACTACTTTATTAGTTCATACATAAGAAGCAACTCCTCATCCATTCAAGTTTTATCATGAGATTACAGCAATTCAGTCACATCTACAACCACCATTTCTAATTCAATTCTCTTGCTATTCTACCATATCTGCAGTTACTTCCTCCACTGAAGTCTTGAACCCCTCAAAATCATCCATAAGGGTTAGAGTCCATTTTTTCCAAGCTCCTATTATGTTGATATTTTGACTTCCTTCCATCAATGACATGTACAATGGTGAATCCTTTCCAGAAGGTTTTCAATTTACTTTGCAAAGGTACATCATAGAAATCACAATCTTTGGCAGACTTTTAAAATGTATTTCTTAAATAATAAGACCTGGCAGTGAAAATGACTTCTTGTTCCATGGGCTGCATAATGGATGCTATATTAGCAGGCATAGAAACAACGTTAATGTCTTTGTGTAGCTCCATTGTAGCTCTTGGGTAACCAGGTACATTGTTAATGATCTGTTAATGAGCACTCATATTTTGAAAGGAATCTTTTTTTTTTCCTGAGCAGTAGGTCTTGACATTGAGCTTAAAATTTTCAGTAAGCCAAGCTGCAAAAAGATGTGATGTCATCCAGGCTTTGTTGTTCCATTTATGGAACACAGGCTGAGAAGATTTAACAAAATTCTTAAGGGCCTTAAAATTTATGGACTGGTAAATGAGCACTGGCCTCAAACTAAAATCACCAGCTACATTAGCCCATAACAACAGAGTCAGCTAGTCCTTTGAAGTCTGGCACCAGGAACTGACTTTTCCTATCTAGCTACGAAAGTCCTAGATGGCATCTTCTTCCAATATAAGGCTGTTTCATCTGTTTTTGAAAGTCTTTAGTGTAGTCATCCTCATCAATGATCTTAGCTAGATACTGTTGATAACTTGCTGCAGCTTTTCCATCAGCACTTGCTTCATCTTGCACTTTTATGTTATGGAGAGAGCTTCTTTCCTTAAATCTCATAAACCAACCTCCCCTGGCTTCAAACTTTTTTTGTGCACCTTCCTCACTTCTCTCAACCTTCATAGAATTAAAGAGAGTTAGGGCCTTGATCTGGATCAGGTTTTGGATTAAGGGAATGTTGTGAGTGGTTTGATCTTCTACCTTCTCCAAATCAGCAATAAGGCTCTTTTGCTTTCTCATCATTTGTACATTCACTGGAGTAGCATTTTTAACTTCCTTCAATAACTTTTCCTTTGCTTTGACAATTTGGCTAATTGTTTGATGCAAGAAGCCTAGCTTTCAGCCTCTCAGCTTTCAACATGCCTTCCTTACCTAAGCTTAATTATTTTCAACATTTGATGTAAAGTGAGAGGCATTTGAGCCTTTCTTTCACTTGATGACCTAAAGCCCATTGTACAGTTATCAATTGGCCTAATTTCAATATTTTTGCACCTTAGAGAAGAGGCAGGCTCAAATAGAGGGAGAAAGGGGAATGGCTGACCAGTCAAGCAGCCTGAACACACATAACATTTATCAATTAAATTTGCTATCTGATATGGGTGCTGTTCATGCTTCTCCAAAACAATTACAATAATAACATCAAAGATCACTAATCACAGATCACCATAACAGATATAATAGTCATGAAAATGTTTGAAATACTGCCATAAATACCAAAATGTGACACAAATACACAAAGTTAGTACATACTGTTGGAAAGATGGCACTGAAGGACTTCCTTGAATCAACGTTGACACAAAGCTTCAATTTGTAAGAAAACATAATAACTGTGAAGTATAATATATCAGATTGCAATAAAATGAGGTATGCCTATATTGCAAAGATATCCATTCTCCTTAGGTTATTTACAGATATAGTTTTTATCTACAGCTTCCAAGATGACAACCGAGCTAGTGTTTCTTTCCCATGCCCAAAATTAACCATGAGAAATCTAAAGAAAAAAAAAAGAACAATGCCATAAACATCAGCAAAATAACAAAATGAGAACCCCGAGAGACACTAAGTCTCTGTTGAACCAGTGCTTATATGGCGACCCGCCCTGAAGTGAAAACAGATCCATAGCCTGCAGTAACAAACAGATGACAGCATTAGTTGCAGGAATTATTTTAAAGTTCTGCCTTTGCTTCTTTCTGCGTGCCTGGGACAATGATTTTCTACAGCTTCATTTAAAGAATCTGAGGCAACATCTCAGGTGCCACATGCTGGAATCATGGGGCAATAACAAACATTTGAGTTGGTTAAAGCAGTATGAGTTCAGACATTGTAGTAATAACCACCTAAAATCTCTATAGCGAATGAGGGCTGATTTTTTAAATGATCATTGTAACAGAATATAAAACATATACTAAAATAGAAGTGTCACAGTGAAGCACATGTAATAAGAATATTAATATACTCCTGAAACATTTGATGATGCTGATGTCAGCCAAGAGAAAGCACTGACAAAGCTGCCATGATAAGGAGTCCCCTTATTTTCTCCTTGTTGATTTTTGAAGGCTATGGTTGGGAGAAGTGAATGAATTCATAACAAAAAAGGGAAAAATCGCAAGGCCTGACAGCAGTCAGTGGGTGGACCTTAATTGACTGCTGAAAGACTGCACATCTTAGAAGAGAAGAGGGCTCAGCATGTCTCCTCCTTTGCCCTAACTCCACAGCATAACTAACTGGCTGCAGCTAGGTCTAGGAGGCCCCAGGCAGTAGTGGCCAGATGAATTGCACATGAGGAGTCTCAGGAAGTTGAAGTCTAGTCTGAGAGGGTGTCCTCAAGTCAGTAGAGGGAAGGAACATGGCAAGAATGAAGTGATGACACTGAGGGAGGGCTGAGGGCAAAGTCCATTCTGGGAGAGGGTGTCCCACAGAGCCCATCCCTACTGTCAGTCTTGGAAGGTCCTGGCATGGGTTCCCGGCTCAGGCTCCACCTTACTTCCTACTCAGGACTCTCAGGGAATGAGATCCTCCATCTCCTGTTGACTGATTCAGCTCAGCAGATAGGGAAGTCTAAGGGTCCACGAAGAGCCCCGGAAAGAATTTTATGTGAGTTCTTCGGCAGCCACCCAGTCCACAGAACACATGGTGAGTGACAGAGCCCCACCCCTGCTGTTATGCTGGGAAGGCCAGGTGGGCATGGCCGGAAGTGGTTCCTCCTGACTTCCGCGTAGAAAAGCGGCCAGGCAGGAGGCTTTGGTCTGAAAAGTGCTACGTCGGGTCAGCGGAAGGGGGCATCCCAGATCTTCTCAGGTATCTTAGTGGGTATCTTGACCTATAACTCGGGGGACATTTCCCAACAACTACAATCCCCTACCCCCTAAGAAAGGGCAGCTTCAGAGAGCCCTGCCCCATCCTGCTCCTAAGATGGTAACTGAGGAGTCCCGAAGCATGGCTGTTAGGCCAAAAGTCCATTCGCTTTTTCCGTGGGGTCGAAGAGCGTGAAGTCCTTGGTCGAAGGCTGGTGGACTCACGTCAGTAGAGAGAGAAATCTCAGGCACTGCGTAGCTAAGAGGAATACTCTGCTTAAGACTGAAGGGACTCCATGCCGCAGCATGGGTTGCACCGAACTACGCCCCTGATGTCAGCCTGGGGGTCCGGGCAGGTCTCTAGAGAGAGATGCGTTCTCTCTTTGTCCCCGTGAGAGTCAGAGAGGTAGGTCCCTGGTTGTAAGAAAGTGGCAGCAGGTCAGCGAGGGTGATTTCCAGGTTGTGGGAAGAGTCAGGATGAGGAGTCTGATTACCGTAGGGACCGTTCTCAATGTAACAGCAAGAGCACTCAAATGCCTCTGCTGCTGTCAGCCCTAGGCGGTCTGGGTGTCCCGGAAAGAAGTGTTGGACAGGAGTGCTTCTTTATTTCCTCCTCGTTAGTACGGTAAAAATTCCTAGTGTCAATTTCAGAGCGGCAGAGGGGAATGTGCCTCTGGGACTTGACTGCAATTTTTATGATGATCCAGAATAAAAACGGAGAGGACCACACCTCTTAACAGAGGGGCCCCCACTGCCGGCCCCTGCTGTCACCTCAGTAAGCCCCAAAATGGGCTGTCATGCTATAGTCTAACACTCACTCTTAACTTCCTCCTAAGTTCGAAGGAGACAAACAGACCAGGAGAACAGGAGTCCTGCGAGTTCCTGGAGCAATTGTTTCATGGAAACCTCCAGAAGGGCCGCTGGTTAAAGCCAGGATAGTTGCTCTCTGCTGAAGGTGTTGACATGATGTCACTCTCTCCCGTCCAGGTGCCAACCTTGCCAACCTTCATGTCCACACCCCTACCTGCTGTCATAGACCACAGCCACCATGCCTCGGGGTCAGAAGAGTAAGCTCCGTGCCCGTGAGAAACGCCGAGAGACCCATTGTCAGCCGCAAGATCTCACAGGTCCCCAGGTCACTGCAGAGAAGCAAGAAGAGTCTCGCTCTTCCTCATCCTCTTCTGCTGTTTGTCGGAGTGCTTGTCGTAGGTCTTCTGATTCCTCCGTTCCTCAGGAGTCTCAGGGAGCTTCACCCACTGGCTCTCCTGATGCACGTGTTTCATGCTCAAAATCTGATGTGGCTGCCAAGGGTCAAGATGAGAAAATTCCAAGCACCTCCCCTGATACCTCCCTTCCTCAGGAGTCTCAGGGAGCTTCACCCACTGGCTCTCCTGATGCAGGTGTTTCATGCTCAAAATCTGATATGGCTGCCAAGGGTCAAGATGAGAAAAGTCCAAGCACCTCCCCTGATGCCTCCGTTCCACAGGAGACTCAGGGAGCTTCACCCACTGGCTCGCCTGATGCAGATATTTCAGGCTCAAAATCTGATGTGGCTGCCAAGGGTCAAGAAGGGGAAAGTATAAGCCCCTCCGAGAGAACTGCGTTCTTTACAACCGCAGACCGAGATCCTCTAAACAGGAAGGCGAGCAAGATAGTGCGATTCCTGCAGGAGAAGTTTGAGAAGAAAGAGTCCATTTTGAAGGCAGACATGCTGAGGCGTGTCCGCAGAGAGTACAAGCCTTGCTTCCCTGAGATCCTCAAGAGAACCTCCGAACGTTTGGCGGCGGTCTTTGGCGTTGAATTGAAAGAAATGGATTCCAGCGGCGAGTCCTATACCCTTGTGAGCAAGCTGGGCCTCTCCAGTGAAGGAAGTCTGAGTGGTGATAATGCGCTGCCGAAGTCGGGTCTCCTGATGTCGCTCCTGGGTGTGATCTTCATGAAAGGCAACCGTGCCACTGAAGAGGAGGTCTGGGAGTTCCTGGCTGTGTTGGGGATATATGATGGGATCCTGCACTCAATCTATGGGGATACCCGGAAGATCATTACTGAAGATTTGGTGCGAGATAAGTACGTGGTTTACCGACAGGTGCGCAACAGTGATCCTCCACGCTATGAGTTCCTGTGGGGTCCACGAGCCCATGCTGAAACCACCAAGATGAAAGTCCTGCGTGTTTTGGCTGAGATCAATAACACCAGTCCCGGTTTATACCCACATCTGTATGAAGACGCTTTGATAGATGAGGTAGAGAGAGCATTGAGATTGAGAGCTTAAGGCAGAACTGGCACTATTCCTTTGGCCAGGGCACCTTATGGGGCCACATCCTACAGATCCTCCCATTCCGAAGTAGAAATTTTGCTTTATGTTAGAAGAGAGTAGTGAGCTTTCTAAGTAGTGCAGTGTAGTAGAGGCTGGAGGGAACAAGATATACCTCTTTCTTTTGTCTTGTTATACATGAGTAACTTGTAGATTTATGTTTTATTTCTTTGTCAATTTTCAAGATTGTTCCTGTTAAGTGAAAGTTTATTTTGCTTCAGATTATACAATTATCAAAAACATAGCTCTCACATTCATGGTTGTTTAACCAATTTGAAAGTTACGGTTTGGGTATTAATAAAACAAAATCACACAACATATTTTCGCTGTAATTCAGAACTAGATAACACGGTAATAGAAAATGGATTTTGATATGAATCTTAAAGAACTCCACAATAAAATAGTTGACATCATAATATGACGAGAAAGAAAAGGAAAAACAGAAGGAAAAACAGAAATGTAAAAAGTTGTTTAATTTTGGTTTGCCTAATTTTTCATTTTTAGTATTAATAAAGGATACCTGGATTTATTTAGGTTATTAAGACTGCCATTTGTTTTGTTCTAGTGCACTTCATATTCTATGTTATCTACTGCATCAAAAAGCCTTTCTGATTGCAGGGTAGTATTTTCTGGGTTTAAAATCATCACATGAAATGCAGTGACTAATATAAGCCAGAATGAGTTCACTAAAATCTTCTTGAAAAAAGGCGGCCATATCCAAAGAACTTGCATAGGCTTAAATTGTCCCAAATATTTTCAAGATGTGGTAATTTTGTTTCTTAATATATCGTTAGGAAAATTAAAAATTAATAATTTGTGTAAAAACACATACTATAGTAACTGTCATTTGTGACAGACTCAGCATTTCCTACTTAGTATGCTATATTTTATGAGCAGTATTTATACCCCAAAAATTCCTACAAGATGGGGCTTAGCAGACTCACTTCCCCAAAATGAATAAATTGTACAGCCTTAAAAAAGCTCACAAGCTTCTAATTCTGACAGAGCTGGGATGATCTCTGTTCTGGATTCATCTAGAGCCCATGCATTTTCCAGTCCTCTCAGTCCGAGCCAGACTTTGTGTCTTAATTCATTTTTCCTCTCGCTGCCCAAAATGCTTATCAGAGCATTAAAAGGACACCGTACCCAAAGCACTTCTTTGGAATATACAACTAGAGTAATCATAATGCTGAATAAATGAGAAAAGGAATTGCTAAAAGAAAAAAATAATACACAGTGACAGTATGATCATCTGGATATGCAACATCAGATAACCCAATAAGATCAGGAGCTCCCCAAATCATCCTGCTCTGCCCTTTCCCCATAGAAATTAAATATCCTCAAAGCAAAGTACATAATAGGCTAAGTCTGGCTGGCAAAGCAAAGAATAGATCAGTGTGCTTTTTTCACTGACAGCCCGCCACCTGTCTGGGGCCTCTCTGCCTTGTAGTACAGCTTCCCTATCTCGTACAGAACCTGGGATAGGAGCCATTGTCTAAGGTTTGCAGTAGGGAACCTGCTCAATTGTTTGCAGGTGTGTGACATTTCCCAGCAGGCTTAAACAGAAAGGAGGCATGATGAGAACCCCCATAAATGAGGATTCTGGAGCTCACTGCCTCAGAATATCGGGGTCACTGAGAGACCAGGCCCTGCCTACTCTCAGATCTAGAAGGCCCAAGCTATAGCAGCAAGCTAAAATTTCTCTATTTATTCAAGATTCTCAGGTACATAAGAGTCCTGGTCTAAGGGTGGTGTGCTCTGGTTATTGGGAGGAGGATCTCAGCCTCTGAAAACTATCAAGAAGAGGACTCTGAATGAGAAATGAGGAATGATCCACCCAGAACAGTAGGGGCTCTTAAAGCTTTATCTTGCTTTCGGGCTCGGGGTGGCCATAGGCAGGGCTATCTGGTTGAGGCTCCTCTCATTTTCTCTAGGGCTTCTACTGCGCCCCAGGGAGATAAAGGTTTTGATATGGCAGTAGCTCCGATTCTGCCCATAAAGGAGATCCTCACAAGCCTGGATTGGATTTAAGATGAGGACACTGGGGTAGCCAAGGAGTAGCACCCTGACTTCCCCCTCTGGTTTCTCAGTAAAGGGAAAGCTTTGGCTTGAGGCTGGCAGACTCAGCTTAGTAGAGGAAGGAGTTCCACATCCCCAAATCAATGTTAGACCCTGAGTGAGAACTGAGGGAGCCACTGACTCCAACACAGTGGAATCTTGTCGGATTCTGACTCCTGCTATTATTATTCCCAGAGGATCCTCAATAACCAGCCAGATGTGGCTGTTCCTAATCTCCAATTGGGAGATTCCAGGAAGATATGGCCTTGGTCAGAGGAGGTAGCCTTGAGTCAGTGGGAGAGTGGAGTTTTTAGATTGCTTAGTAGCAGTCAAGGTAAGGATGCTGAGGAGGATAGAGGAGACCACTACCCAAGAACAGTGGGAATGCAGTGTCCTGTCCCTATTGTCAGCTCCTAGAGGACCAGGGTAGAACTCTCAGACTGAAGTGCCCCCTCAGTTCCTCTGGGAGTGGTCTCAAGGAACTGAGAGCCTTATTCTAATGGGAGCAACCCTATCTCAGCAGAGGATGTTTAATAGGAGTCACACTGCTGACCCTAAACAGGGTTGATGGTACTCCTCCCAGAACAGGTGGAGCCACACGAAGCCCTGCCATTGGTGTCTCTCCTGGCAAAAACCACAGGAAATTCCTGAGACATGAGTCCCACCATTTCCTTTTAAGGCATCTCAAGGAGGTAAGGCACCTCCTCTAAGGGGTCAGCCTGAGGTTACCACAGGGATAAATTCCAGGTCATGCAAACAGTCAAGCTGAGGACTGGAGGATGGGAAGGAACCACTCAAATCCTAACAGTACAGACAACACAGAATCCCTCAGGTACTGTCAGCTAGGTGACTATTTGATAGTGTTAGGAATTAAAGGCCGTATATGAGCAGACAGGCCTCTAAGTCTTGGGAATGTTCATTGTGAGACTCTTGAGCAAGGACTTAGGAGGAACCAACCTAGAAGAGAAAGGAACCTGCTATAGCCCTGCCCCCTTTCAGCCCTGGAAACCCCAGACACAAATAACCGGATATGTCAGCCACTCTCCTCGCCCTGCAGGACTCCGGGGATTCACTAGGGAGGGAGGAGTCTGAGATCCTGGGCTGAGTGAGGACTCGCTGATAAAAACCTTTGAACAGAGTGGGAGTCCCATGGAGTCTTTCTCTTTGCCATTAGTTCTCAGAATCCTCTAATAGCTCCAGTGAGATCACTTGGACTCTTACCGCTGGGGACTCCAGGCAGAGGAACTTGGTCTGAGGTTGGCCATCTCATCATAGAGAACATTACCAGGTTGAGCCAGGTGTCAGGGTGAGGACCATGAGGACGGAGCAGAACCTGAAACATATAACAACGGAGGCAGCACATAATCTCTCCCCTACTGTTAGTCCCGGGAGACTCAGGGATAAATGTCAGGCAGAGCAGGGGCACCCCTCAATTCCTCCTCAGGGTGACAGAGAAATGAGGCCCTTATTCTGAGGGAGACTGTGACAGCCACGAAAGGAGAACTGTGGGCACTGTCATGAGTCAAAATGAAAAGAATGTGGGCGAGGGCTGGTGAGACTGATCCTCATGGAGGCCAAAAGTGCTTGCTGACAGCTTTGTGCCTCGGGAGACTACAGGAAGGTATGGCCCAATAAGGCTTCCCTCCCTTCCCTCTACTAGGTCTCAGAGATTTCTGGGGCCTCTTGCTGTAGGAGATGCTCAGATCAAAGAACAGAGGAGCTGCAGGTCCTTCTAGGTGTCAAATTGAACACTTTGATGAAGACTAAGTTGATCATATTCCTTCCCACAGAAGGGACAACATAAATGTCCAGCTCCTCACTTGGCTTTCAGCATTTGAAAACCTATAGCAGGACTGTCAGGGAGAGGCTGCCCCAGTGTTTTATATTGGGTCTAAGGGAGGTGATCTCCTTAACAAAAGTGAAGCCAAGGGATAGTGCAGAAGAGGGGGTCCGAGGCCCTACACGAGCCAACATGAGAACTCTGAATAAGACTGAGGGTCCAGTGATCCCATGACAGAAAGGATCTCAAAGTTGTCACCCCATTCAAGTGCGAAGTCAGGAAACAACTGATGACTCCAGCCAGTCTTAAAGTAATGAGGGGAGAAATTTTCTCGTATTCAAGAAAGTTACTATTTTTGTCTTTCAGGCCTTCAACTGATTGAATGAGGCCCATACACACATCAGGGAAGGCAATATGCTTTACCCAGTCTACTGATACAAATGTTAATCTCATCCAAAAACAGCCCTACAGAAACACCCAGAATAATGTGTTAGAGTAAATATTTGGGCACTCCATTGCTCTGTGCGTTGATATGTAAATAACCATCACAATACTAATAATGAATACACATCCTCTAGGTTTTTATTGTTGCTTTTGTGTTTTTAATGACACAACTCCTCTCTTGCCTGACTCCTATTCAGCTTCTGGTTTGATTTGCTGTTTTTTTAACTAGAGGAAAACATTAAAAGTTAAGTATAAACTATGTCTATTCAACCAACTTGAAAGACTCCCTCCAGAAAAAGTTTCAAATTATATTTTAAAAGCAGAAATTATATTTACAGATCGTCTCCAACTTATGAGGTTCAGCTTATGACTTTTTTGGTTTTACAGTGGGTTTATCAGGATGTAACACATTGTAAGTGGTATTAAATGCATTTTCAATTGATACTTTTGACTTATGTTTTCTGGAATGTAGTCCCATCATAAGTCGAAGAACATCTCTGTATCAAAACATATGCTCCTTGACATGACTGGATTCAATATTTATATGAAGGACTTCATGCAGCTAAACTTTATTGTGTCTCTTAACTCGTTACTTGTTATCTGCCTGTTCAGGTTTCTGAATTTCTTCAGGATCAAACTTGGTAGGTTGTATGTATTCAGAAATTTGTCCATTTTCCTAGATTTTGTAATGTATTGGCAGATAGCTGCTTTACAGCTGCCACTAATGATCCTTTCTCCCGAGCATGCAATGTCTCCTTACAAGTTGCTTCTGCTTTATGGAGCATCCAAGCCCAGTGCAACCTTGTGATTCTGCAGACTCACAGA